CCCCAAAACCCCAAAACCCCAAAACCCCGTAAGAAAAGATAATATAAGATCATGAGATTAAAAATCAAGAATTTTATTTAAATACAATTGATTTTGAAGATTATTATCAGATAAGATACTCTTTTTTAAAGCACTACTTAGCTTTGTGCTTTGCCTTATTTGTTTAATTAACGATCATTTTTTCATCTTTTTCATTGAATGATTTATTGCTTTTATATTTTGACTAGTCCATTTGTTTGGTTGTCTTGAGTGGGCTGCTACCTTACTTCGATGAGAGGTAGATCATCTCCATTATCATTATTTATAATGTCTTTGACAGGTCTAAATGCGAAAAAATAGGTGCAAAACGTCATTGACATTCCACAGAATCCGACGAATGTTATATAGTAAAAATGTGCTTTCTGTGATATAATAAATGATTAAATCACCTAGAATGTAAAGACCATTATTGCTTCAATCAGTGCGTCTATCGAGAAAGGTTCAGAATTTCCTTCAAATTCAAACCCTAGAATGGCATTGAGATGTATACTAACAGAACTGTCTTAGAAACCCCACATAAATGTCATCGCAAAAGCGAAGTATGTAAATTTGTTCACATAAAGATAGTTAAGGACTAGCATTGTTGAAATCAGTATGTAAACCACATTTATGATGCAAGTAATTTTAGTCCCGAATTTATCTACTATTCTACCCTATATATTGGCTCCTATTATCTCTCCGAACCCTAAGGCAACCATTGTAATCATAGAGTACTGGAATTGCTTTTGTTCGGTTGCTTCTGGCAAGGTGCTCACGATTGTTGGTACTAAAAGACCAGTGTAAACCGCTATCGATATTCCAGTCCAGCATAATTAAGGTAATAGCATTCTCATTCTTTTATTCTACAGTAACTCTATCACAGATTTGACATCGTCCATAAAACTGTGCTATGGTTCCTACCTCATTTCAATATCAAGACCTTCATTTTATTTAGTCTCTGGCGAATCGGACGATTTATGATTTTCAGGTTCTGATAAAAAGACGAATGTCAAGGTACCTAGTAATGCGATTACCCCCATAACTAGAAAGTAAATTTACTGGCTAAACTTTCCAAGAGTGAATGCTGCAATGAGATTCCCTAATATCTAAGAGCACATATAAAAGGACCAAAAGTAACTAAAGGCAAATCCCTTGTTAGTCTCTGATGCGCATCTAGCTACAAAATTATTTGCGCAGGCCCAAAGCACTCCTACAGTGAAGCCATTTATCATAGTTGAAACATATAGAGCAGCTGTAATATACTTGCTTGGCTTTTCAATAGTTCCATCTGTCTTGAATATTCTAGACTTCTACTCTGCTGCTAAAATAGTGCTCAAGATCCATTATACATTGCCCAGTCCACCTATAATGAAGCAATATCTTGAGCCCAGTTTATTGATGATTGCAGTAGAAACAACACTCCCAATGCCCATAAATAAGTAGAGCACTGCCAAAATGTAAAAGCCCATTTATCCAAAGCCATCTTCTTTCATTACCACTGACTAAATGTTAGAAGCAGAGTTGAAAGCCATATACATCAAAAGTATTCCCAATGACAAGTGAGTTAAACTTTTCAAATCTTACTAGTTTTTCATGAAATTTATTTATCTGATTTTAAATAATATTATCATAATTCTTCAAAAAGTGATTAGAAAGCAAGAGGGGTTTTGGGGTTTTGGGGTTTTGGGG